TCTCTGCTGAGGGATGGCTGCTGAAATGTCACAGCAGGAAAAGTTGGAAGGAGGAGGGAGAGGTGCCTTTTTCTGAGCATATAAAGCAAAGAATAATTAGTACAAATACCAAATGCTGCAGCAGTGACTCACTGTGTGAGTCAGAGGAAGTCTGTCCCTGAGTCCTGTGCTCTGCTGTAGCACTGGGGTTTGATTTTGTGACCCTATCCATGCTGCTGTGTGCTGATTATTGTGACCAAAGGGGCTTAGAAGCAGCATTTCCATCAGTGAATCCTGGGGCTGCAGCAGGGTTAGGGTTAGGGTTTGTTCAGTATCTTTGTCTAAATGTCTTTGTGTAGGAAAGCACCTTCTGCACACTCTGTGCCTTTACATCTGGCTTCAGTGCTAGATTCATCCCACAGTCAGAGTCCCTTCTCCATGGGCTCACCTTTATCCTTCCTGGTCTTCTTTTCTGCATCCTCCTTTCCTGTGCTCCCTGCTCCTTAAATTCCCTCCACTTTGCCAGCTGGATGGCTCTGTGTGAGGGACACTGACCTGGGAACTCCAGCACAGCAGTTCCAACTACCTGATGCCCTTGGTTCACAGCAGGGATATTCCTGCTCCATAGGGAACAGGAGGACACTTGTGTGGAGATGGACAATTTGCTCATTCGCAGAGGATCCGCCTTGGAAAGAGTTTTGGTGTCATGGGAAGCCTTAAGTGTTTTGGTTAATGCTTAGCAAAAAGGTCCCATGTGGGAGTTACTCAGCACTTCTGCTATGGGAGGTGAGGGGGGTTGCCAAGGCTGTGCTTTCCAGGATTTTCAGGCTGTGTGTGCCCTCTCCCTGCAGGCCGGCCGTACCGTGGGAAGCCCAGCGACATGTGGGCACTGGGGGTGGTGCTCTTCACCATGCTCTACGGCCAGTTCCCCTTCTACGACAGCATACCTCAGGAGCTCTTCCGCAAAATCAAGGCTGCCGAGTACACCATCCCCGAGTGAGTACAGCCTGGCCACGGGGGCTTGCTGGGCCTGCTGGAGCTGGAGGAGCTGCCCTCAGCACCCCAAGGGGCACAGCAGTACTGGCAGCAGGCTCTGGGCATTAGACAGCAGGAGCAGGGGATGGTTTGTGGGAAGGAGAGGCAGGCTGAGAGCAGTGGTAGCTCCCTGGAGCTCCTGGCTCCTGGGGCTCCTGGGGCTCCTGGGGCTCCTGGGGCTCCTGGGGCTCCTGGCTCTTGGGGCTCCTGGAGCTCCTGGCTCCTGGGGCTCCTGGCTCCTGGAGCTCCTGGCCTGTGCTCCCAGCATGTCCATCCTGCCACACTCTGCTCAGCCTGTGTTGTCTGCCCCAGGGATGGCCGGGTCTCAGAAAACACTGTGTGCTTGATCCGGAAACTGCTGGTCCTGGACCCGCAGCAGCGGCTGACGGCTTCTGAAGTGCTGGATTCCCTCAGCTCCATCATAGCGTCCTGGTATGTGCAAGGGGAGAGGCAGGACACGCTGTCTCTGGCCACAGGCTGTGTTGTTGCAGCTGTGGCTGGCTCGCTCACCAGAGGAGAGTCTGGGAACTGCAGTAAGCCTTTAAATCCCATGTGTCCACCACTGTGAGCTGATGGATACGGCTTTACAGCCTGTGCCAATGCTCATGGCAGCCATGGCCATCCCCGTGGGATCACCCTGGGGCTGGGTGAGGGTGGCTGAGCCAGTGCTACGCTCTGGATCCCAATGCTGTGCTCTCCTCCAGGCAGTCCATGTCCTCTCTGAGTGGCCCTTTGCAAGTGGTGCCGGACATAGATGACCAAGTGGCTAATCCCGAAAACCCCCAGGAGGTAGGTTCCCCTGCTTTCCACAGAACTGTTTTTTCCTTGCTGCTGTGCCAATGTGTCTGTGATGGCACCCACCCCCAGCTGGGAAGGGGAGGGCGGGGAGGACCCAGCTGAGTCCCTCAGGTCGTGCAGCGGAAGGAAAGGCCGATGCTGCTGGGGCAGGAGGCGCATCCAGCTGGCTGAGCTACCAGGAAGTGAGCTGGGCCCAGAGCTGATGAGAGCAGCTCGCTCCACTCCCAGCAGTGCTCACTCCCTGTCCCACAGCTGGGAATGCTGGGAGAGGCAGCAGCGTTGGCTCTGGCTCCCCATGAGTGAGCTCCGCCATGGGAGCAAACATCCTGTTTTCCTGCCGGTATGTTTCATGCTAGAAGTGTCAGCCGTGCAGGATCTGTGACGGTGCTGCAGGGACAGGGGTCACGCAGCTGCAGCCTCAGTGCTGCCAGGGTTGGGATGAGCCATGTCAGGACAGAGCTGTGTCCTGGTGGCACTGCTAGCTCACAAGAAATCCTGCCTGCATCCCCAGCAGCAGGTCCCTTTCCTGCATTAGGACCCCAGTTATCCCATGGTAGCTCAGAGGAACCGTGGGGCTGCCAGGTGTGGCTGTGACAGGTCAGTCTCTGCAGGTGAAGGTGACAGAGGAGTGCTCCCAGTACGAGTTCGAGAACTACATGAGGCAGCAGCTGCTCTTGGCTGAGGAGAAGAACACCTTGCATGAGGCCAAGAGCTTCCTGCAGAAGCGGCAGTTCGGGAACATCCCTCCGGTGCGGCGCCTGGGCCACGACGCGCAGCCCATGAACCCTTTGGACGCGGCCATCCTGGCCCAGAGGTACCTGCGGAAGTAGCTTCCCACGCCCCAAGAGCACGAGCACCACCCTGCACTCTGCCCTCGCCTCGCCTGCTCCAGCCTACAGCAATACCGGTGTCCCAGGATGGGGAATAATGTAGCAATCCCAAGCTCTGTCCAGGGACACGCACTCACGCCCGCTCCGGACGGAGAAGACTTTTGGAAAAGCTAGTTTTGGAAGCAGCAACCTCTTGGCATCTTCTGGAATCTGTTTTTTAAAATCGAAGCCTAGATGACTAATCTGCTTTTGATCATGACTGTAATCTACCTCTCTTGTCTTTTTAACCATGCTGTTCTCTGGATCGAGCAAAGCCCGTGGGAAAGGAGGAGACTTCCAAGGGTGAAGCTGCTGGCACAGAGCCGTGGCCGTGCAGCGCGGAGCCAGCCCGTGGCGCCCACTCCGTGTGGTTTGAATAAGCTTGGATTTATCAGGGTTTCTCGAAAGGCAGAATTTCTTGAAACCTCCCACTTCCCTTCATCTGCATCCAGTCTGTTTCTGTCCTCACGTGCCACCTGCTCTGGCCGTGCTGGCCAGTCCTGTGTGGCCACCGCCTCAGGCAGGAGTTGAGGAGTCGTCCAGGCCAGGCAGCGCTGCCTGCAGGGATCAGATCCTGTCCCCAGTTCAAAGGTTTTGCAGGTCTTGGCCCTCCAGGGCTCCTGCCCCCTCTCCCACCTCTCACTGATTCCTTTTGTTTATAAGGATCTATGATTTAATCTTATTTTTCAGTAGCATATCCCAGGTGCAGTTACAGTTGCATTAATTCTGATTTAGTGTTTCCCCCCTCAGTTGTGGTACAGATGTAATATATGAGTTATAATGTGAAAAGCTTCCCAAAATAATTTGCCCAGAGATAGGAGGGGCTGGCTGAAGTCTCTACTGTATTTGTTCCCAGCTTTTCTTGCCATCCCAGCCCAAACCTGGGGCTGCCTCTGCCCTCATGCCAAGGCAGGGGAAGGACATCCTGGTTTGTCAGCTGGTGCTGCTGGAAGAGCTTTGGCCTGTGCTGAGAGCAGGAACGATTGTTTCTGAGCCTCATTTATGAACTGGATGCCTGTCTTGCCAGATAACTGTTCTCACACAGAGCTCCCAGGGCTCCCAGTGCCCTGGCCAGGGCTCCTGCTCGAGGCAGCACCTTCTTCAGCTGCCTCCTCCCCTGCTCCTGGCTGCTCCCAGCCCTGGCATCGCCCTCCTGCCAGCCCTGTGGGCAGGGAGGGTTGGAGCTGGGGGGGCTGCCCTGCTTTTTGGGCACAGTGGGCGTGGGCAGGGAGCGAGTTGCAGATGTTTGTAGCGTGTTGTTGCCTTTTCTTGCCCCAGGCTGGGGGAGGAGACGGGGTCTAAGCTGGGCCGCCCCAGCAGTGGCTTTGTGGGGACAGGGGGCTGGACTGAACCTCCCTGGCCATGTTGGGCATTACGTCCTCGCCAAGGCCCTGTGGCCAGGCAGGGCCTCGTGAACACTAACACAGACCAGCTCCCTGCACCACCCCAGCTGAGCCAGTAGCCCCAACTCTTCCGCCTTATTTATTTTGAAGATGATGGGTTTGTCCTGTGAGCCCATCACCCCCTGTGCCACCAGCAGCAGGGCAGGGAGCCCCTGAGCACCCCAGCAGGGCCCTGCTCTCTCCTTCTGGTTCTCTCCTGCCTCATTCCCTGTTTATTTTTACTGTTTTTCCCCGATGTTAAAGCAAAAAGCAATATTCTGGGACTCCCTGAGGCTGTATCACACCAGGATCCTGCAGTGGCAGCACCGGTCAATCCACTTGTGCTAAGGCAAACTGGAAGGGGGTGGTGCAGGGGGCATGGGGGCCACAGGGCCACGGCGGGACAGAGCCTGTTGTAAGGAAAAAAAGAAAAAGAAAAAAAAAAGTGGAAAAACATTTGTATAAAGACGTTATTTTTGTACTACATCGGAACTACTCCTGCATGTCGGCAATAAAACTTCATACGACAGCCCGGCGACCCCACAGGGAAAAGGGATGGGTGGGATGGGGGATTTTGGGGTGCTGATGTGCTCTGGGACATGTACGGGGTGTGTGTTGGGGGGGGGTGGCTCACAGATCAGCGGCCCTGAGTGCCCCATGGGCCCCCCAGCCCTGTCCTGCCCCGATGCGTCCCACCGAGCCTGTCCCTCCCGGAGTGGCCATGGGGACAGCGGTGGGATCACCTCGTGTCGCTGAGACCCGGTGTGTGGCACAGCTCGGCCGGTGGGGCTGGCACGGGCACCGCTGTGGGGCTGAGCTGGGGCTGAGCCCCCAGCCTGGCTTGCCTAGGCTGGGCACCGCCAAGGCTGGGACGGGGCTGGACCGCCCGTGGTCCGGCTCCGGGGCGGTTCCGCCGCCGGGCCCAGCGCGGCGTCCCGGGGGAGCGGGACGGGCCCCGGTCCCGGCCCCGCTGAGCGCCATTGGCTCCGGGGCAGCGCTGACCGCCCGCCGCCTCCGAACCATTTCCTGTTGCTGCGGCGTTAATGCTGAACAGACCTTGCTCTCCTTCCCTCGCTCCAGCCAAAGTGCCGCGGCTCTGCCGCCGCCGCCGTCCCACCCGTGAGTACCGGCCCCGGGCACCGCGTGGGGCTCTCACCGGGCACCGCGAGGGACCGCGACACCCCGCCCCACGGCCACGGCGGCTGTCCCGTCCCGGCTCGGTCCCGTCCCGCCTCGGTCCCGCCCGGCTCGGTCCCGCCCGGCTCGGTCCCGTCCCGCCTCGGTCCCGCCCGGCTCGGTCCCGTCCCGGCTCGGTCCCGCCCGGCTCGGTCCCGCCCGGCTCGGTCCCGTCCCGGCTCGGTCCCGTCCCGGCTCGGTCCCGCCCGGCTCGGTCCCGCCCGGCTCGGTCCCGTCCCGGCTCGGTCCCGTCCCGGCTCGGCTCGGTCCCGTCCCGGCTCGGTCCCGTCCCGGCTCGGTCCCGCCCGCCTCGGTCCCGCCCGCCTCGGTCCCGTCCCGGCTCAGCTGCTCTGGCTCTGGGGGACTGCGGGCGCGGGGCTCGGTGACACGGCTCGGGCTGCGAGGACGGATGCGGAGCAGGGGACACGGGGGAATGCTCGGGGAGCAGCACCGAGCAACTCGGGGCTCGGCTCTTGGGGACCCGCAAGGCTCCACAGCCAGCCCGGTGCTCACCGGCACCCCGCCATCCCTGGGGTTCCAGGTGGGCTGTGCCCCTCCAGCCCCACCGCAGCCCCTTCCCGGGACAGGGGCTGGCCGTGCTGGATAGGGAGGGCACCCGCCCCTCCTAGGGACCCTGCTGGACTTGTTTTGGGGTGTCCCGCTAGAGGGGCTGCGGCCCCTCAGCTCCGGACCGTCCGGGATGGTTTTGCTGATGTGTCACATTTTCTGCATTTCTTTCCTCATTCCTGCCTCTCTGGAGCCGTTTCTGGGAATGAGCTCGTCCCCTGCCAGAGCCAAATTTTCTCCCGCCATGCCCTGTCCGTTGTCCTGCCTCGCATCCTTCCCACTGCCCCGCTGCCCATCCTTCCTGCTGCGCTGCCTCTCATCCTGCCCCCTGTCCTGTCCTGTCCTGGTGGCCTTTGCACTGTGCCTGGCCTTGTCCCCGCACTGCAGCGTCCCACGGCAAAGGGCCAAGGCTGGAGCTGGGCTGGAGCAGTGTGGGGGACAGGGACAGGGACTCTGCCCCAGGAGTGTGTGGAGCACACGTGTCTGCCCATGAGCACTGGCGGCCTGGTGCTGTGACCCTGCTCTGCCCCGTGCCCATCCCATGGCCGGGCATGGCACAGAGAGCCTGGCCCGGTGCCACGGATCCGCCTGATGCCGTGGCCAGGAGGAGCCGTATCCGCCCTGGTCCCTCAGGAAGGACGGAGGGCGGTGGGAGTGGGACGGCTCCAGCTCAGCATCCGTGGGGTTCCAGCCCTGGATGGAGCAGCCCAGCCCAGGCACGAGCCCCTGCTCGGCTGGAGCCCAGCAAGGAGCCCCTGGGGGGACAGGGCGCCTGGGGGGATGCCAGCCCCTGCAGAGCGTGGCTCAGCCCGTGTCCCGCAGATGCCCAGCACGTGCCATCCCTGGAGCCGCTGAGACCTGCCGGGCACAGGATGGAGAGTCGCCGGAGGGACATGGAGCTGCTCAGCAACAGCATGGCCGCGTACGCCCACATCCGAGGTGAGCCAGGGCGCGGCTGGGAGGCCACCGCGGGCCCCGGCCGGCGCGGGCAGGTCCCTCACACCCTCCGTTCCCCCGCAGCCAACCCGGAGAGCTTCGGCCTGTACTTCGTGCTGGGCGTCTGCTTCGGGCTGGTGCTCACCCTGTGCCTGCTGGTGCTGCGCCTGTCCTGCCGGCCGTCCCCGCGGCCCCCGGCGCGCCCCGGCGACCTCAGCGAGGACGACGACGAGGACGAGGAGGACGAGGACGAAGAAGACACCGTCGACCGCGCGGCGTCTGAGTCGCTGCTGCCGGTGACCGAGATCCCGCTGGAGAGCCACGGCCCCGGGGACGGGGCGCTGGCCGTGAACGTGTTCGCGTCGGCCGAGGAGCTGGAGCGGGCGCAGCGGCTGGAGGAGCGGGAGCGCATCATCCGCGAGATCTGGCGCAACGGGCAGCCCGACATCCTGGGATCCGGCACCATCGGCACCCTGGGCCGCGTCCACTACTACTGAGCCCGGCAGCTGCCCTGGCACGGGGTCTGCTCCCCCGTGGCCGACCCCACACCGTGCCAGGAGGGACCAGGGGGACAGGCTCGCTGTCCCTGAGCTGGCGGAGCTGCCCTGGGCTGTCCCTGCACCACGGAGAGCCAGACCCCGGGTCACGGGCACCCCCGGGGTCACGGGCACCCCCGGGGTCACGGGCACGCCCGGGGCTGGACTCGCCCCGCCACGGTGGGACACGATGCACTTTGAGCCATTGGTACGACGGCTGGCACCAGCCGAGCAGCCCCGGGACACGCGGGGACAGGGACAAGGCCAGGGCAGCCCTCGCTGCCGGGGTCTGGCGCGGGTTTCACCCCACGGGGCAGGGCCGGGCTGTGCCTCCGTGGGAGCCGTGGGCTCCTGCCCCTCAAACATGGTGCTGTTGTACGAACCAGAGCCCAGCGTGGCGGCTCCGGCGTTTTGGGGGCTCTGGGCACAGGGAGGATCTCGGCCTCTCCCCGCGCCGATTCCTTCCCGGCCCCACTAAAATTAGCCGGGATTTTTCCGGTGCCGCCCGCCGTGACCCCGCGCCCTTTGGCCGGGCCAGGGCGGATGTTCCCGCTGGACTCTGGGCCGGCCGCTGCTCCCCGGGGATGCCGCAGCTCCCGCCGGGCTCAGCCGCATCCTGCCCCGTCCCAGCCCAGCCCCGCGGGGCGCCGGGCCCCGCTGCCCCCTCCCCGGCACTTTTATAAAAATAGCTCCTTCCCAGGCTGCTTCCCCCCCGCCGCCAGCCCCAGCAGGATCCAGATGTTTTCCAGATGTTCTCCAGTGGCTGGGGGCCAGGATGTGCTGGGGCTGGGACTGGAGCTGGCCTGGGAAACTGTGCGGGGGTGGAGGAGGAGGGGAGGAGGTGAAGGAGGAGGAGGAGGCCCTACCCCAACCCTGCCACGGGCCCTGGAGGTGCCCCTTGATCCACGGTGGGACCCTTTGTGCCTGGCAGGACCAGCCCAGGCCGTCAGGGGCGTGGCAGCCAACAGCCCCCACACAGCACTCTGTACCCAAAATAGTTTATTTTAAACAATATCTATAGGTCCAGGGGCTGTTATGCTTCAAGGAGCAGTGCCTGGGTGTGGGGTGGGCATTTGTATCCAACGGGTGCAGAACCAGGCTGGGGGGGCACACGGAGCCATGTGCCACCCCCCTGCCCCGTGCCATGGGTGGGCACCGCAGCCCCCCATGCTAACAGGGCAGCCCCTTCCTCACTCGCTCGATCTCCGCCTGTGGGGAGAGGCTGTGATTGTTGGGGGGCACAGGGGACCCCAGGACGAGGCAACCCCCGGCAGGGACTCACCTGCAGCGCCTGGCGCTGAGCCTGCTCCTGGCACAGCTCCTGCCGCAGGTCCTGCAGGTCCCGCCTGCAACACCCAGGGTGGCTCAGCCGGGCCAGGGCGAGCAGCAAACAGCCAGGAGCACTGGGGACTCCCCGACACCCCATCCCCACTCACAGGTGCTGGACTCGCATCAGGTCCACAAGGATGTGCAGGGTCCGGACCTCAGCCTTCAGGTCCTCCAGGGCCAGCAACCTCCCCTCCAACACCTCCAGCCCCTCTGTGCTCCACGGCGGGACAGGGGCCTGCCCTGTGCTGGGGACAGGGGCACAGAGGGCAGCACGGGGCAGCCCCTGGGGCTGCTCCCCACCATGGGGACCCCCCGTGCTCCCCAGGACCATGCTGGGTGGCCGCTGGCCGGGTACTCGTGGCCGTGTGGCCGTGGGGTGGCTCAGCCTGGCTGTGGTAACTGGCACCGTGTTGAAGCCATTGGCATCTGCCAAAGAAGGAACAGGAATCAGCCCCTGGTGCTGGGCAGGGCCCGGCCACCCCTGCAAGCCCCTGCACGGCCCCTGCAGCCTACCTGGGTCACCTGCTCTGCCCCACTCCACGGCAGCTGAGGTGCTGGGCTGGGGGTCACCGGGCCTGGGGACAGCAGAGGTGAGAAGTGGCACAGCCAGGGAAGTGCCAGCCCCACGCCAGGGCCAGCCATGAGCACAGCCACATTTCTTACTTGGTGGGCAGCACGGGGGCTGGTTTGGTCTTGGCAGGAACGGGGGGAGCAGGAGCCATCCTCTTGGTGAGCGGGAGCTTGGTGGGCTCCATCCTCGCTGGCGCTGGGAGCTCTGGGAGAGGAGGCAGAGGCAGGGCTGAGGCCAGGACCGGCACTGACAGGAGTGGGGCAGGAAGCGCTTCCTGCTCGTGACATGCCCGGCCCAGGCACGTCCCTGTCCTCCCCTCTCTGCAGCCCAGGACTCACCGGGGACTCGCTGTCCTCGCCCTCCTTGTCCTTCTGTCTGGGTGCACCTGCCGGGGAGTGAAGGTGCTGAGGGGGGAACTTGTTACAGCCTCTCCCAGCCCCGCTGTGGTCGGCGCTTCCTCTGCGTGAGGCGGAGCAGGCAGCGCCAAAGCTGCCGTGGGTGCTGCAGCACGGGCAGGGTGTCCTCCTGCCACCATCCCGCCACACAGCATCCCTGAACCACACCAGGACAGGCCCACCGGCGGGGTGGCACACATCAGGCCACGGGCAGGTGCCCATGGACCACCCTGTTGTCACAGCAGGCCCCCCTGTCACCACGGTTGGCCATGAAGCCCCTGTGGTGGGCCACCATGTCCCTGTGGTGGGCCACATTGGCCCCACGGTGGGCCAGCAGCCCTGATGCTGCCTGGTCCCTGCTGCTGCCACCAGCACAGCCCTTGTCAGGAGGCCTCGCAGACACCAAAAATGGTGCTGGTGTTTCCCACCCAAAGATACGGCTGAAGCACCAAGGGCTGCGGGCACGAGGACACCCCTATCCGGCCCCAGTGCTCCTTGGCTCTGGTGGCACAGGGGATGTGCCCAGAGGTGCCCAGCACCCTGCCAGGGATGTGCCCAGAGGTGCCCAGCGTCCTGCCAGCCCCTCACCAGCAGCTCTCCAGGCACGGCACAGCCCTGGAGCGCTGTGATCACACCAAGCACTGCTGTGAGGACGATCCCCGTGCGATGCTCCCTCCTACCTGCCGCTGTGGGGCTGCCCCGAGGCCGGGCGGTGCCAGGCCAGGCTGTGCCGTGCCGTGCCGTGCCAGGCTGCCCCGGCCCCACACCGCGCACGTCATGCCGGAGGAAATCGGCTCCACAGCGGGAAGGAAGTTGAAGCAGAGCACACCTCAGCGCTGGTCCACGCCACATCCCTGTGCCCCAGCGGGGACTCCGGCTCCCCAAACCCTCCTGGTGCCCTTCCCGGGGCTGCCCGGCCATGCTGGCAGGACACCGAGGCTGGGTGGACACCAGGGCCAGACTCACGGGACTCCTTATGGGACGATTTCGGCTGTGGGAGAGGCTTTGGATGAGGAAGGGCCTGGAGGGCACCGGCGCTGGCACAGCAGAGCCCCTCAGAGCCGTGTCTGCCCTGGCCAGCCCCAGTTTGGAGCCAGGGCTGGCACTGGGGCTCCTTCCCTGCCTGGCAGAGCCCGGGGGGACGGCTCTCACTCACCCGCGGCTGGAGGGGAAGCGAAACCCAACCACAGAGGGGCTGAAAGCCACAGAGCCACACCGCAGCCGTCCCTCCGCAGGGCCTGAAGGGTCAGTGGCACACCAGGGATGTCACACCAGGGATCCTCCTGGTCCTGGCCCCTGCCTGCTCCAGGAGACAGCACGGATATTCCTTTTGGCCAAACGCATCTGAGCCAGCACTACCGACTGGGGGACAGGGAGAGGGGCTGGAATCAGCCACGGGGCAGAGCAGGACGGCAGAACAGAGGTTCCAGTGCAGACCGAGGGCTGGGCACGCTGGGCAGCCATTTCCTCAGGCTGGCTCAAGGCTGAGTGTGAAGGGAAGCACCAGCCCTTAACTCAGCACGGTCCCACCAGCTCTTGGCCAGCACCATTACCCACAGCAGCCAGGAAAGCTGAACTCCTGCAGAGGTTGTACAGCCAGCAGCCTCCCAGCGCCCTTGGGATGGCAGCGAGGAGAAGTTGGGCACCAGCCAGGGCAGCACACGGGGCTGCGGCTGCCCAGCACCGGGACCAGCCCTGTGAACTCCTGGGAGGTTGTGGGAAGGATGGAGCTGGTCCTGTGCACAGTGACACAATCCCTGCTGGCAGCAGGCAGGGCCCGTGGCTGTGTCACCACTGTCCCCAGGCAATTACTGCCGAAACAGCAGCTGAATGATCTATTAATGCATAAAACCCACCAGGAGTTGCCCCCCTGTTGCTTCAGGCACTTGGTCCTTTCAGGCTCCCCCCCGGCAACTCAGGACACAAACCAAGCAGAGTTACACCTACGACTTATTTTATTGTATTTTATTTGCATAAACAAACTTCGGGGCTTTGCTAAACAGGAACTGTTCAAGTCAAAACAAACCAAACTCTAGCTGGTGTGTGGGGTACAGCACAGCAATCTTGGGGAGAGGGACAGGGGAGCAAGGGCACGGCTGTGCCTCCCCGCCCAGGCTCACGACCTGGCTGGGAACCCTCCACAAACTGCTCCAGAATATCTTTAAAGTAGAAGATAAAAAGAAATTCATCATAAGGGCCATCCTCAACCAGCTCAGGAGGAATCTGCCTTTTGGTTTTATAAAAAGATTAATAAAAAATATTGAAAAATTCTCATTTCCATTTATATTTTTCCCCAAGAAGAATTCGGAAGTTCCTTAGAAAACTGTGTCACCTTGGAAAGGGCACTCAGGTCACAACCAGCTGCAGGGAGGAGACACAAATGCTACAAGCAGTTTGGGGTCCAGTACACACCAGGCCTAATAGTGAACACAAACAGTGGCCAAAAGTAGGGTGTATTTTTTTTTCTCTTTTAAACCATGCTAATTTTATTAACTTCCAACATAAAAGGAAAATAGTAATTTTTAAAAGGCCCTAAACTCAACTGTTACATTAAAAAAAGATAAAAAAAAAAAAGTTATAGCAGTTTGGTCCCAACAAATGAACATTTAGATGTTTGCTCACATGCTTCATTATTTTCTTATTTATAAGAACCAAAAATAGTTTCCAAAATTATCTCTGAATTGATGCTACTACGTATGTAAAGGCCTAAAATAAGCAGAATTTAGAAAATTGAATACACAATAGGGGAGGAAAATTTGAGCGGGCGAGTGAACCCCGACTATCACTGGATCGAATTATAAAAGAGAAACAAAATGTCAGGACAGGTGAGGTCAGGAGGGCACAAACTAAAACCACATCGTCCTCAAAGCCTGTTACCAAAAATAACCGACCATCCATAAGGTCACAGAGAAGGGAAAATCTGGGGTCTCACCCAGCGCTTGACCGTATCCAGTCCAGAAGGGAAGTCTTTGGGAAGAGAAACTCCAGGAGTGGATCCGAGCGTAAATGATGGATCAGTCCCAGTCCGTGCTTGGGGAGGCTGAACTCTGGAAATGCAGTTAAATAACGTCGGGATGGTTTCCGAGCTGCTCTCCAGGGCTCTGCTCAGCACGTGGGGATCACCCTGCCACCCCAGCACCAGCCTGACCCCTCCCTCCTGCCAGGGCTCCCGGCACCGCGCCGACCCCGCGGCTACTCGGCCGTCGTCTGCAGGGCGTCCTTTTCCTCCCGGTTCTCCGTTCCGCTCTCGTCGTCTTCGATCTCTCCCTCTTCCCCACTGAACTTGTCATGAGCCCACTTGGGGCTGGTGCTGGACTTGCGGAACATGAAGCGGCCTCTCCCCCGGGGGAAGGCGCCGCGGCCGCGGCCCCTGTTCACCCACTTGTCCGTGCCCTCGCCCTCGCGGTCGTCGTGCTGCACGGGAAGCCAAGGACAGCAGTGAGACAGGCTGGCACCGCCCTGCACCGCGCCTCTGCCACCGCCCTTGGGGATCCCTTCGTGGGAACCACGCTACGGGGAGCAGGAGCCAGCAGCCTGCCGTGAGGCCTCACTTGGTGTGTCAGTGACAGCGGGTGCTTTCGCCTCTAAAGCACCTGAGACCGGACACACCCGAGCACACGGGTGTCTCAGCACCCAGCTACGTACCAAGTAGTATTTCTTGCTCTTGGGTGTGTACTCGGGGTCCCACTCCTCCTCTCTGCTGCGCTTCTGGAAGTCGTTGTTGCCACCGCTGTTGCTGTTGTTGTTGCCTGAAAAGTTGCCTCTGCCCCATCCTCTCCCTCGAGCTCTGAACTGCTGCAACAGCAACACAGAGGAGAAAAATAAAGCAGTTGCAGAGGCAGTCAGCTTCCAGGTCTCCCAAAATATCCAGCATCCCTTCTCTGACCATCCAAAACACCTCTAAAACCTATCACTAAAGCAAGAGGACAGTTTTAGCGTGGCTACACCACCTCCTGCACTCGTGTTTTTGGAGTTTTAGTTCATCTGATCACAGAGCACATCACAGTTCCTGCAAAGCTGATGAAGATCACCTAGAGGCATTTCCAGGGCAACCCCAAGCAGGTGAGACCCCTCTGTACATGGACTGCACACATGAGCGTGGCCAAAGCCCAGTGAAGCACAGCGTGTGCCCACCGGGCTGCTCAGCATCGCTAACGCACAGAACCTTCCAGGCTTTGTTCTGCTCCTCCCACCTGGAGTTTGCTGCCCACAGCACGTCCCAGCAGTTTGGTTTATACCCCAGACCTGGAGTGATCCCACTGGGGCTCATCACTCTGGGGGCTTCTCCTCCAGGGCAGCTTTAACTGAGAGCAACACACAACAGCCCACTCTGGGAATCAACCCTCAGGGCACAGGTGGAGAACATTTGGGGCAGGGGTGGAGAACACTTACAAAGGTTCCTCTCGCTCTTCCTCTCTCATTTGGACCAGAGAATTCCTTAGTCCCAAGCCGGGACTTGTCAAAGCCCGTGGAGCTCTCCTCCCTCTCCTCAGTCTCCTCGGGATACTCCTCTGCTTTGACGGAATGAGAGGACCACGAGGACGATGAGCTGGACCTGGACCTCTCACGCACCCGTCGGTGCTTCCTGTTTCAGTGGTGGCAGCAGAGGGGAGTGGGACACAACAGCATTAGGCACTCAGCTGTGACCCATCAGATACAAAACCACTTCTTTATCACCCTCTTATCAATGCCACGCTCTCCTACTACAAGAGGAAAAGCCATAGTAAGAGCTCAGGCTTTAACACAGGGCCCAAGATCTCTCCAGAAGGAACTTGTTGCTCCTTCCTAAGGTGTTTACACCATCTGCTCTCAGCTTAGCATGCATCCATGGAGTTTTAGTCAAATGGAAAATTAAGCTAATAGAAAAAGATTAAATTAACATCAAAGCCAAGTCATTTTAGCATGGCTGTTTCTCTCTTGACACAACAGGAACAAGAAGGAAAAGTGACTCACCCATCCCGACACATGGAGCTTTCCCATCTACCTTTTACAATTATTTAGTGTTTCTGAGAGATACAATGATAGCGAGACGACACGCAGAGGGGTAGCTCAGCCTCTGGAGGAGTTATGCCACAGGTGCACAACTGTGTGCACAAGTGTTGTACACGGGGTCGTCTCCAACCTGAGCAGCAGAGACACGAGAGGCACAAGGAAATGGCTACTGGGTTTCCTACATACTTTTTCTTTGAGCCTTTGTGACTTTTCTCCGTTTTCTCAGTTGATCTTTCCCTTGAGTGACTTGAATCTCTCGAGTCCACCGACTCCCTGGATTTATCGCGTTTAAGATCTCTTTCCTTATGTTTTTTACGGCGTTCAATATCAAGGCGCAGATCAACAGGGTCGTCCTTATATTTCCCTTCAGCCTACAAACGCAGGGGAGAGGGAGGGCAGAGTTGAACACAAGGTCTGCAGTGCCCCAGCTCAGCACTTTACTTTGCTTTACTGACTGCACAGACTTCTGGAGAACTGGAGTTTAACTGAGCACTAATGAATATTCCACTTTAAGATGTCAAATAATGCACTATTAAATAAGTCTGCCTTTGTCAGAATTCAATTTTCCTACACTTAAAATCACTGGTTTTTAAACTTTTAATCTCCTCTTTAAACAGCATTAAAATAAAGTCTGGTAGAGGGGAGGGAGACATGGAAGCTGACATTTATTGTACACCACAGCCAGCAAGGATGTGAACAACTGATTAATGACCACAAGGACAGTGTGGCAGAGTTCTCTGACAGCCCATGGGTGCACCTGAGGTCCTGCTGACAGTCCCACCTGGGCAGGGGCCAGAGGAATTTTAATCCCCAGGTCTAGAAGTGACACTCTGGGAGAAGCAAAAGCTCTTTGCTGCTTGGAGCTACCCAAAATTAGTGATCCAAGGGGCAGGAGGAGGCCAGTGAAAGGCAGCATCCAAGGGGTCTGGGAGAAGGCCAACATCCCATGGATAGGGAGGTGTTACTACGTGTGTCAGGAAGATTTACTTGCTACAGATGGCACCTACAGCTCCTTCCCCTGGGCTGGAGGGCACCGTGTGACAGGTGCCACAAAGCCCCACAGACACACTGTGTGTGTCTCCCACAGCCCTGCCGAGTCTGCTAAAGCAAGCTGGTGTCTCACAGAGCAAAAACTCACCAGCTGCATGAAAAATTAAAACTAAATTTACATTGCTAATTACAAACAAACATACAAGACACCTGGTAACGCTTGCTTTGAGCTGTATTTAAATTGGTACTTCAAGAAGGGATTAGGAGTTACTTTGGGAAAGGAGCAGATATTTTCTCTGCACCTCCTTTGAGCACCTGGGTGAGATTCTGCTGCCTGCCCTAAGTGACAGTGGCTGTGGTTTGACTAACAGGTAATTGGGCAGCAGGAAGCCTTACACCATGTTGGTACCAACACCCAGCCTCAGCCATTGCTACTGCATTTACAAAACACTCATCTTGGGAACTGTACAACTTGATATGCAACATACATCAAATTAATTGCCTTCAATTAAATACAAAAGGATTAGTAATTCTCTAGCTGTTAAATTTTTACTTACATGAGTTTCTAACCACTTTTTTGTTTAAATAAATATGTCAAATAACGCAGGAGTGAAAGCAGGCATTTTGTTTTGGTATTTTGCTCTTCTACTTTCCCCAGGCAAAGAGCTTTAATTTCTACTCTGAGAATAAAACTGCTCCCAACACGATGGATGACAGATAAGTGACAAAATCAGCAGCAGCTCCCTTATGTGGCACAGCAAACACCTATTTGGGTTTGGGAGGGCACGTCTGTTTCACGGAAGGCTGGCGAGCTGTTTGGAAACCACGTTTATAACACACTCTGCCAAGCTGATGCTCAGTTCAGGCCCATCAAATCCATCTCACCATCGTCCATGTCAAGCCACAAGTGTGTTTGGAAAAAATCGAAAACAAATATGAAACAAGTAAGGTTTCAGCAGGACTGGTTAAAATCTCTTCAATGTAAATATGTATGAAGGTGAATAAACAAAGGTTAAAATCTCAAACATTTTACGTTAAGCCTTTTTTATGATTGTTTACAGTGAGTGCAATGGCTTAACATTCATCTACTTAGCAAAGCTAAAACACTCAATCCCAAATGCTCTGGATCTAAGACAAGTGCTGAATGTTAAAGTAACAGCAATCAACAGAAATGGCACAGTCAGTTGTTAGAACAAAATTTATCAACTGCTTAATAGTGTATCTGCTTTAGCTCAGCATTTAGTTTTACTTTCCTCTTTTTGACATGCATGTCTTTGAAAACATGGTTGGCAAAATTGCACGTAACAATGGAGTTAATCATACTTACAAGCAGAAAAATATCACAAAAAGTTCTCTTCTCTCATCATGGGCACTTGTTCCAAAAATCCTCTCTTTTTTCTCAAGCTCACCTCAATTGACTTTGGGGTCATTTACCATAGTCTAACCACTTCACAAAGGTTGTTGATACATTTTTAATAAAAATTAACCCTTTGTAGTTCATTTTTAGAATTATGCCCATCCTTAAAAGAAAAACACAAACTTAAGTAGAGAGTAATTTAAACAAAAACATCACTGTTAAGTTCATGCCCAATGCACTCATTTTGTTGAATTAAACTAATCAGAGTAACAGTTCACCTTGAAGCCAGGATCTCTGGAGCTTTTCGATTCCTCTTGAGAGAATCCATGTTTTCTAAAAGTACTGGGAGATATATCTATCCTCCTAAAGCAAAAAAAAAACAAAAAACAAAAAACAAAACATAGAAATAACCTTGCTTATAAGAAGAACCTGAAGATTTTAAATCAAATGTCCTTTAAAGCAGATCAGTATTTCCAAAAGTATTTAAAATTCCCCATATTTTAACTTTTTGTGGTTTTTTGGCTGAAGCTAGTCATATACTTGAATTATTCTGGAATTATTCCAGAGTTTAAGAAATGCAATGTGGAATACTTCTGCAATGTTAAGACAGTGTCTAATGGCACCAACCTGTGGATTTCAGGGCTCTTTTTGTTTTTAGCTGCGTCTTGTTCCATTCCTTTCTTTAGATATTTGGTAAAGCGTTCGTTCAGCGTCATAGCTGAAGACCCAAAGTGATGCTCTGTCAGGGGTTTGAACAAGTAATACCAAAATATCAGTGCCAGT